GCGCGCGCTCGAGCGCCTGCCAGAGGTCGGCGTCGGAGTAGGAGTTGAAGGGGTCCAGGTTGCTGCGCACGGTGCCGCTGAACAGCACGGGATCCTGCGGGATGATGCTCAGCTTGCGCCGCAAGTCCTCCAGCCCGATCGATGCGATGTCCACGCCGTCAATCACGATGCGGCCCGCAGCCGGCTCTACCAGCCGGAACAAGCACAGCATGAGCGAGCTCTTGCCGGAGCCGGTACGGCCCACCACGCCGATCTTCTCGCCCGCCTGGACCGAGAACGACACCTGGAGAGCGGAGGGACATCGGTTGAGGGGTGGGGGAGTCGGGATGGCAATAGACAAATGCAGCCCTGAGAGCGGAACAACAAAAGAGAGCGGAAAAACCTACGACAATAGGAAGGCAAGGGAGCGAGACCCATGCGTGCATTCATCAATGCAACTTGGCCACAACGAGCGGTGGTCTTCACAAACAAAACGACTCCAGGTCAAAAGCTTTGGACGGGGGTTCTGGAGAAGCTAGGAGCACCACAAGGACGGGACTACTGAAGATCGAACGGAAGCGCTCACGTCCTGCAGCACGAGGCGGAGGCCCTCGCGGTAGCGCATGGAGAGGCCCTCGACCTCAATGGCGCCGTGCTGCGGCCAGGCCGGGTCGGGCCGGTTGTCTTCCACCACACTGGCCGCCTCCAGCTGGATGCCGTCCCGGTACTCGTACATGCGCTCCACCGCGTTCATCTGGTTCTCCGTATCCGTCATATTTTGGACCTGAGGCGCAGACAAGAAGTCGGGTTCAGTGATGATGAGAAAGGGACACGGCCTTTGTCCCGAGGAAACCCGGTCGCTTGTTTCAAGCTTGACAAACAGGTGCATTCAACGAAAGCTTATTCGGTAAGAGCGCATCTGCGGGCTCCCCTTGAACAGCCATTCGACACAAGTACGAGCTTGAGCAGAACTAAAATAAATGCACCATCAACATCGTAAAACCATACTGGCGACTCAAAGACGAGTAGAAGCTGGCCAACAGTTTTCTTACCAGCATCGTCAAGGACTGCGTCACAGCTAGCGCGTAGTCGATCGAGATACCGGCTTGGCCAGCATAGATTCCCTTCTTTACAATCTGCACAGCCACAGAATTTGGGAAAGTCAGACCCCCACGACAATTTCGCAGAGCCGTGGAGCGTAACCCAGGCAAATGTGGCACCAGCCAATTTCGCAGAGCCGTGGAGCGTAACCCAGGCAAATGTGGCACCAGCCAATTAAATAGTGAGGCACTGACTGTACTGCGTCTCAACCGCAGCAACAAGTCTGCAGCACTTGAAAGAGAGTTGGAAGAAGTCTCGCTGCTTCAGTGTTGGTGGGAGCGGCTGGCGCTCACCGCTAGGAGCGCTGCGGCGGACACCATGAAGTTGCCCATCATGCCGAGGCGCACGCTGAGCCACCGGTCGCACGACCGCAGCAGGAAGAAGGCGCGGTTGTTGTGGTCCAGCTTAACTGCACAGGGGCAAAGAGGAAAACGTTCGGATCTGACCTCCACTAAGCAAACCGCCTCAAGAGTCAATTGCGCAACGTCACTCTCTACAGGTCACGCGGAAAGAGGCTGGAACGATGCGCAACAAGTCGCAACTCAGCTGCATCACATGCAGATAAAGCCAAGTGGTGCAGCCAGAGCAAAGTGGGCGGGGGCCTCGAAAGTTTGCGGGGGCCTTACTGTGGCCGAGGTCGTTGAAGCGGTCCTGCTGGCGGTAGGCGCGGATGGTGGGCAGCCCGTTGAGCGTCTCGGTGAACTGCTGGTAGATGGGGCTCTTGGTGACCGCGTCCACGCGCTTGAGCTCGCGCGCGGTGCGCCGGTACACCTGCTGCATGTACGCGTACAGCAGCGCCATGGGCGCGAGCACCGCCAGGAACCAGGGGGTCACGATCACGATAACGATGAAGCTGCCCGCGGCCTGCACACACAACGTAGACGGGACGGGGTCAGCGACCGTCCTTTCGCACTCGTACTTCTGCCCAGCGATGTCGAACGGAGGCGCATTCGAGAGCAAGAAAGCGCAGACTTGACGAGCCCCAGACAGCTCCTTATCCGGACAGCTCATTCATCGAGAACAAGGGCTGACAACGTGCTAAGCTGAGACAGTGGCGAAAGGTAGGAGTCGCAAGGGAGCAACAACATAAAAGTTGAGGCGGGCGCACTGACCGAAAAGAGCATGTTAAGGAACATATTCCAGGACATGGACAGGTTCTCGTCGATGTACGACTGGTCCATGGAGAAGCGGTTGAGGATGCGCCCCACGGGCGTGGTGTCGAAGAAGGCCATGGGCGCGCGCAGAATCGAGCTCAGAATGCCCTCGTGCAGGATGCGCGCCGTCCACAGGCCCAGCAGGAAGAAGCCCAGCGTGCGGATGTAGATGAAGAAGGCGTACGCGAACGCGAGCGCCGCGTAGATACCTGAGCAGACGGGAATAGTAAGTGTCAGGAAAGTTTTGAAGAGGAAGTCTGGCCTGCCATGAGAGGTATCAAAGGCAGCATGAATCGCCGACACTCAAATACCCGGCAAGAAACTGTCCAGTTGAACTGCTCGAGAGTACGTGCCCAGTTCTTGCCTCCACTTTACAAAAGCGAAAATCCAATGTCGACGAGTCCAATGAACTGGCAACCTCGAACGCATTTAAAAAAGACGGCAGGCACGCCAGCCCGGGCTGGCACGCACCTAGGTAGAAGGCCAGCCCCTGGTTGTACTTGTTCTCGGTCCAGTAGGAGAGCCAGTAGCGGTTGTAGGCGTCGATGGCCTGCACGAGGCCGAAGAGGCAGAAGACGAGGAGCGGCACCAGCAGGCTGGCCTCCGTCCAGTACTTCTTGTACACGCTCAGCTTGAGATTCCCCTTGGCACGCGTCTCCGCCTCCACCAGCCGCCCCGTCCCGGCCTCCTTGCGCGCCAGCCGCTGCCGCCCGCCGCGGTCAGCCACGCTCTGCCGAGAAGCCAAGAGACTTTACATCAGTGTAAGGATGAGTGGGACAAAATGACCGACAAAAGCAGGACAAGAAGCTCTGACCGTAGCAGCACCACAAACGAACGATAACGAACCGGCAACCAAGAAAGCAGAAGAAAGACGCCACTTGGCAGAACTTTCATTCGCTATAACATCTCCACTTCGATAAGAGGACGAGACGGACCTGCGTAACAGGACCGTGAGGAGAAAACAGACTCCGATAAGACGGGAATCACAACCAAAGACAAGCACGCCCGCCCCGATGTGCCCCCGCACCTTGTCCGCCCGCTTCTTCTCCTTGTAATCCGCGCGCCCCTTCTTGACGACGGCCTCAAGGTCGCCCTGCGCGACGCTGTTGGAGTCGGCGCCGCTGCTCTTCATCAGCGCGCCGAACTCGGTCCCGGCGGCCATGAGCTGGTCGTACGTGCCGCGCGCCGCAATGTGGCCGTCCTTGAGCAAGACGATGAGGTCCACCGCGGGGACGTACTGCAGCTGATTGGTCACGAACACGCGCGTCTTGTTCGCGAGCAGGCCCGTGATGCACTGCTGGAACAGGTGCGCGCCGACATGCGCGTCCACCGCGCTGGGAGAAATAACAGGAAGGGCGTCAGCACATCAGCAATGAAATTCCATGGTGGGTTTTCGGCCAACGCAGCTTCGAGTGCACATTTTTGTCAAGCTTGAGGGTCCAAACACAAACTTCAGTGAGCACGAGGTGGCTTCTTGAGTGTTAAGGGCAGGGCCTTACCAAGGAGGTATCATGAGGTATCATAAGGGGAAGATATTATTCGCCAAGATCAGGTCGAGAACGAGGTAACGCGCAACACTTTGTTTAGAAAGGTCCAACTCAGGCAGCAACACTTCGCGGGGCCCGTTCAGAGCTCTTTGCACGTACCTGAGGGGATCGTCGAGAATGTAGATGTCGGCGTCGGCATAGGCCGCCCGGGCCAGCGACACACGCTGCTTCTGTCCACCGCTCAGATTAATGCCGCGTTCGCCAATCTCGGTCATGTCGCCGTCCGGGAGCACTGCCAGGTCCTGCACCCAAGGCGAAAGTTTGTGTCAGCATTGACCAAGGGGCTGGATCAAGCAAAATCTCAACCATTCCTTCATTCCCTGTCCCTCGATACCTGTGACAATCTCCTCTTTCGCCCCACCATCGACCTTGCCAAAAGCATATAGAACACGCAGGCCAAATTACGAACCGAGTAACCTGTCAGCACGCTTATAAGACTTTCAAAGAGGTTCTGGTTCTGTCCAGATGCAACCCTCACCTCATTGAGCGCGCACGCGGAGAGGACCCGCTGGTAGCGCTCCGGCTCCATCTTGCGGCCGAAGAGCACGTTCTCGCGCAGCGTGCTGTTCATGATCCACGCCTGCTGCGTGCAGAAGGCCAGGCTGCCGCGCATGCCCACCGGCGCGCCCGCCGTCTGATCCATCTCGCCCAGCAGGGCGGACGACAGCGAGCTCTTGCCGCTGCCAACTGGACCCACGATTGCCACCAGCTGGCCCCTGCAACCAACAGCAAGCCGGGCAGTCTTTAGAAAAGGGTGGGGGCGAACGATGAACAAGGACCCTAACAGCAATAACCCAAAATGCCAGGCAGCGACTTTGCCCGGATCAACTACCGGATTCTAGCTTGGCCACTAGGCTTGCAGCATGGCAAACGCCTTCTATGACAAACTTCGGCGTGTCGGCACCTACGTTGCTGCACGACAACCACCTGTGCCGCTGCAGCCTCCTTGTCCTCACAAAGAAGGATGAAAGTACGTAAAATCGTTGCTGCGTGCTGTGCGCTTACCTCTTGACCTCGAGGCTGATGTCAACCAGACTAAAAGGCTCCTCCACTTTGACTTCCTCCTTGGCGGCGACCACCTGCGCTGGCGCGCTCTTATTGAACGGCTTGGTCACCATGCTGCCGATGCGAGCAAACGAGCGGGCCCCCGCATGAAGCCCCGCCACGGTGCGCGCACCAAAGCTGGTCGCACCGATGCCGCCTGCGGGAAAAGGGTAATCAGTTCCAGAATGCTGCAAGGGAGGAACGCCCTCTCTCGCAGACACTGCGTTCCTTGCCTCTTCATAACTGGCAAGCAGAGTAGACGAGTCGTCGCAGCTTCACACCGATGAGGCCGAGCAACTCGGGGGCTATAACAACCTTCAGTTCACCAGTCTAATTGGCCATCCCCAGACAACGCCAATAACTACGACTGGATAACATGAGCCGCAGTTCAGCAGTCACCCACTTTTGATTGCTGCCAGGTTGGGCTTCTTCTCTCCCGCCGGCGGCCCCGCCCACCGGAAGTCGCTCTTCTCGACCTTGAGCATCACGTCTGCGTCACTGCTAACCGCGGGAGTAGGCGAATCTTGGGCGCCGTCCGTGGCGGGTGCTGCGGCCGGTTGGTCGGCGTCAAGATCGGTGATGCGGTTGGGGGGGAGCTCGGGCAGGGACACAAAGCGGGTCAGCCGCTTCATGGATACCTGGGCGAGGAGGAGGGGAGTAAAGTGTGAGGACAGGGACGGCTTGAGAGTAGAACAGGCGTACCAAACGCGCCAATGAAACTTCATACCTTTGCTTAGAACTTGCAGCAACTGTTTCTCGAGGTTCCATTGATCGAGGGCGGCACCAAGGAACCGTCGTATGCGGAAAGACATCACGCCTTAGGAAGCGAGAGAGGAGCGAATGCATCAGCGCAGTACTCTGGCGCAGTAGCCCCTACCCATTGCGAAAGGAGACAAGTGCATCAGGTTCTGAGCAAGCCACGAAGGTCAAGTGCCGCACCTGGCCGGAGAGCAGCGCGTTGATGATGAAGGGGTACATCATGAGCGGTGCACGCAGCGAGTTGAAGAGCGAGACGGCCGTAAAGACGGTGGCGGCATCCAGCGTTTGGTTGGCGACGCCCGCGTAGAAGGCGAAGGTGACGACCATGATGACGGCGGGGTTGGACAGCATGATGCACACCATGAGCGCGCGGTAAAACACGCGCCGCCGCATCGACGCCAGCTCCTGGCTCCTGCGGGCGACGAGGGAGAGGCAGTGAGGACAGAATGGAAAAAGAAACGCCGACAGAGCTTTGGAGGAAGGGCAACCTCGTAACGTCTTCTCGGACAGCGACGATTTGATAAGGATGCCGTTAGAAGGACCAAGAGCACTCAGACCAAGAAAAACGCCATGTATAGTCGTATAATCAATGAAAATCTAAACGACAAAGCGCAACGAGTAAAAGAAGGGGCCTGTTTACTGAGAACAGCTTCCCGTGGCAACGACGGCTGTAAAGTTGGAAGCGAGACTTGGGCTGCCACGAGTTCTCTCTCCAATGGCTCAGATACTCCAAGCCTCTTCCAAGGCGCTCCAAGTTCTTTGCGCTCACCCTTTCAGCTGACTTGCAACGGCCCTGCTTTCGATCCACCATCATTCGAACAAGGCAGATGACGGACTCGCAGAATACCAGCATTTATTGAGGGGTGGACCTAAAACCGGCACGAGATTCTGAAACAGTGGATACCACACTTGTTTTACGTCATGTTTCGCAAAGTCGTCCGGCTTTAAAGCCCCGCTGGAAACCATGCCACGGTGGGGGCGGCGCACCTGACGGCCTTGACAGCGTTCTTGAAGGGCGACTCCCAGGCGTATGATTTGACGACACGCATGCCCTGCAGGACCTCGTTCACGATCTTGACACGCGCTGACGTGTTCTTCATGATGCTGCGCTGCATGTCCATCATCTTGTTCACCAGCCGCCCCTGCACCCAGCCAACAGCCAATGTGAGATCAGCAGCATGCTTCTTCAACGCTGTTCACAAACCAGCCCCGCCTCTTACAAGTTACGGCTAATCCAGAGAGAAGTGCAGACGAGCATGCCTCTAGACGTGACACCTCGCCTCTCCTCTTTGGATCAAAGAATCCTAAAATACAAAAGCCCCACCATTAGCCGGATGATGCTCGGTCAGGAATCCCTGGATGACGAAGAAAAATTGCAGGAGAAAAGGCTGACTCTGCGAGCCTGTGTTGCGGCTGCTCCACAATCAGAGCAGACCAAGTTGATGCAAAATACTTTACAAGACATGTGCCACCGGAAAGTGGTGCCGGAGGAGGGCACGCACCTGGGTGGGCACGGTCACGAGCAAGACGGCGAAACCAACGAGCGCGGGCCAACCGATGTAGTAGATGAGGATGCCCAGGTTGCCAAAGATCTGGACCAGCCCGCTCCACGTGATGTGAATGAAGGGAGTCGTCTGACTGACTTTGTCTGTGTCCACCTGGAGAGACAACGAGAAGCAGCAGAATCAGAGGCGGAACACGTCAAGCAAACAGCTCTGCGAACGAAACAAAAGGCTTGCTCTTAGGCGTACGACAACGAACTTTGGTTCACAGCAAAAAACCCAACAGCCTCAGAGAGTCGTTATCAGGCGGACATGATGCAAAGACGGTCAATGCTGCGCCCTGGCTGATCAGGCTGCTGCGCTTTGATGCGTACCTGCATCAGCGTGACAATTTCGCCCACACTCTTCTCCTGCCTGGCGGCGTTGGAGAGCTTGAGGCTCTTGCCATAGACGGTAACAATGAGCGCCGTCTTGACCTGCACGCCCATGCGGAACGACATCTGCTGGAACTGGTTCTGGATCAGCAGCGCCACCGTGGGCACCACCAGCAGTGCTCCCGCAGCGTAGTACCCGTAGTAGTGCCCTGCACGCAGCCACCAGATGCAAGGCTATCAGCACAGCTAACAGTCCACAAAGCTCCAATTGCAGTCTGATCTGAGCAACAAAAGCAGCTCGACTGGACTTACTCTGCCTTTTGTGCCAACTCATTCCGTGAGCAATCAGAAACAATGATACTGACAGGTGATTGGGACTCCTAACTTACTATGATCATACATCTCTTTTCAAGAAGGGAAGAAAGCCACGAGCTCACCGAAAATTTTGTACATGAAGTTGCCGGTGTTCTGGCCCTCCTGGATGTAGGTCAGCGTGGAGTTGACTGGAGACAGGGGGGTCAAGGACAGACAACGCGTATGCCAAACATACAAGATGGCGCCAACTATGGAACCCACTCGGCCATTCCCCATTCCAACTAAGTGGTCAAAATAAGATAAGGTGAACAACGCAGCAAGTGCCTGTGAGCTTCTGTCATTGCTAGCATCAGGTCCGTAACATCAGTTGCCGGGACTACGCAACCATGACCGGCCAGATTTTGTCAACCAGAATACGGAAGATCAGAACAAAGATAGGCGGGTTTGGGAGGATACGAAAGAGAGGCGAGGTGAGGCCGAGCAGCACGTAGATGAGCTGCAGGATGCCGGTGATCCACAGCTGCGCCCCAAACGTTTTGAGCAGCGGCCGGAAAAGGGACCTGGAGACACAGGGCCCCGCCGTCAGAAACGCCCAAAACATATTACAATAGCTGGCAGAAAACTATGTCAGCACCAAATAGGAGTAGGACTGTGCCAACAGTGACAGAGGAGAAACTATGCATACTACAATCAGAAAAGTACCAACACAAGTGCAACGTCCGCTTTGTTGAGATTGGACGCTCACTTGTCCTCTTTCTTCTCCTCTTCGTGGAAATGCTTCCCAAAGCGCGGCGCCACGTTATCTGCCCAATCGCCCTCTGGCAGCAGTGGAAGGTCCTCCAACTCAAGCGCCTTTTTCCACCCCGTGGCAATGAGACCCCGCAACCACCTGCAAACCAGCGCCACCCACAAGACTCGAACCACAAGCCCCATGTTCATCACTGCTTTGTCCTTTGCAAGAATGTGCAAGAAACTCTTTCACTGCTCGCGCTGCACTTTCTTGCTGCAACTTCTTCTTTGAACAGAGAAAGAAGGGTGTGCAGTGGCGATAGAATCTCCAATCCATTCACAGTGCCGTTGCTGGCTGCGACTTCCTGATTGATGAAACTAGAACCTGGGATGAAAACATATTGACTCATTCCGTAGCTGATTCAGAACTCGAGCCTCCAAATGTCCGGGCGTGAAACCCATACTCCGACTTTCCGGTGGCGCTCCCACACAAGCCGAGTGATTCAAGAATTGAAAAGTCACCACTTCTTTGACACAACAAGACGTCCGCTCTGCAGTCCCTGCTGAAACACATAGCAAACCAGAGGGCTGCCGCATCAAGCACCAAGCGTCTGCCGCCACCACTAGTGAGAAGGCACAGGAAGCTGCCCACGTACCAGAAGGTGAGACGGGACAACCAGTTGGCCGCCTGCTCCGGACTCTTCTGTGGCCCCGCCTGCAGTCAGTTAAATGCATTAATCAGTGTCTTGTTTCATTCACGGAGCTGGCGGAACTCTTCCTCCCTGCTGGAGATACGGGTCACCAACAACCGCCTCCTCAATGCGACAGCTCATTCATTGGAGATGCAGCCCGTCCAGAACTAATTAGCCAAAAACTCCAAGAACCAACAAGAGTCAAAGACACAAAGTAACGGCCAAACATAACAATCAAATTCTTCCCGCCTTTCAGCAGCCTCCTCCATGCAGTGTCCTTGTTGATGCTTAGGCTTGCTTCAGCTGCAGCGTTACCAAGCTGTCAGTGGTGCAGCCAGGACAACGAGCTCTTCAAAAGCCGCAAGCCATCAGCATGCACTGTACGCACCTCCTCTCCCATGACCGACTCCGTCAGACCACTGTCCTGCATTTGCAAGCCGCTGGCCTCGGAGCGAAGGCTTTTTGTTCGATCTAAACCACCCGACGGCCGCCGCAAGCTCTTCTGCGCGCTCAAGACAGCGGGCGGGTCTTCTTGCACTGCAACGGCTGGGCCCCCGGCTGGAGCCAGGGTGGACGTGCGCACAGTGGAGTTATCGGCACCAGCCCCCATCTTTGCGGCAACCTCAACCCCCTTTCTATGAATGTTTCACCCGGACAAAGATTAATCCCTACGCCTGTCAGCTAAAATGAACGTGTAACTGATCGATTGACTTCGCTAAAACCTGCTGACAGCGCCGCTGCTTGAGATCTGTGAACGAAGCCGCCAAGAATCTTCCCACCAATTTCGACCGGCTATCCTCAACACAGCCTGCCAAACCTCAGCCCCTATGAAAGAACAGCTCACCAAAAGCTGCAAAAGCACCTCAATCAGCTTCTGCACCGATGCCCTGTCGACCAGCTGCTCCTACGCCGCTGGAAAGCGCCCCTTCCAGACTCACTGTGACTTGGACCACCCTGCTCCATGCGGGAAGGCGCTGGAGCTCAAGCTAGCAACTTGTCAAGGAGGCTGCCTGGGCCAGGCAGTTGCGGGCAACGACGTGGCCTTTTTGCGAGCCAGCCCGGCGTGGCACTTTTCTGACGCCTCCCATGGTTTGCGGACTGCCACGTGGCAAAAGTGCGCGTACAAAATCCAAATTAATTCCAGGTCAGCAGCCGAGATTGCGTGCTCCTCAGTTTCAGGGGAGCCCTTGCCCAGCACATGGCGTTTCACAATCAAACAATGCTGCCATTGCTGGGTCATTCTGGCAGCTGTTGCCATTGGGCGCTCGCATTCGTGTGCAATTGGGCTCCTGAGTGCACCCCTCTGATGTCAACAGAAGCCAATTGACAGTTGCTGTGCAGATATTGCAGATGGCGGTCCCCGGTGGCTGCGGTTGCCAGTGCGCTGTATCGTCTCCGAGTTGGGTTTCCTTGCCTCTCAAGCAATTGCCCACAGCAGGCCGGCAGATTCGATCTCAGAGAGCGCAATGCAGCGTCAAGCTTACTCCCGCACAGAAGAGTAGGACGGTTGGAACGGATTGGCGGCATTTGCAGAAGAGAGAGTGCACTGATGTGGGTTTTCTGAGTGTATCATCAAGTGGTCCGACGATGGTGGTCCACGCAGATTACTCACGGCTACTCTGGACGAATTCACCCCCTGTAGCTGTCTCTCGGAAAAGAAGGGCACTCGTTTGTCAATCAGCAGAGCAGGATGAGCAAGGTCCGAACAAAGAGGAGAGAAGAGGAGGCCCAGCATCGGCAGAAGCGGAACGTAGTCCACCATCATGGAATCAAGTGCCTGGAACGGCGGGGATGGCACGCTTGGTGAGGTCGCCAGCGTGGTGGTTACTTTTGGCGGTGACCCTCCTCGGCTGCGGAGGAGCGTACGGATATTTCTTGTTTCAGTATGCTGACATTCCCATCATTGTAGCCCAAAAGGCTGCACAAGCTAAGCTATAGCCACATTGTCGAAGGCTATGTGGCAGTCCGTGACTTAAATACACGGCGAGCAATTTGACCCAGCTGTTTGTTCATACGTCTTGGCAGCTAGGTTATGTATATTGGGCTACATTGACAAACTCTTGTCTCAAAAACTTTGGAGTTTTTTCGGATGATACACAAGCAACTGATTGTCATAGTGCTACTCTCAATTGTCCTCTTTGATCGGCTAGCTAAATATGCCTCTGTTTTTGTGCGCGCCAAGCATGTCTTCACACATAGGCAGTGTTACATAAGGTATGCAGCCAAACCAGATTGTTGGCCGAATCCTTGTTCATGTACCAGACGGTTGTGTCAGCTTGACTGCTGCATCAACAGCTTTGGTTTGCCACTGATAGAGAAGGTCAAGGGAATGCAAAGGCCAATGTTGAGAAAATCTGAAAGCTATATACAACACCCCTGTTCCTTGTTCAATGCACATGAAAAACATGTTTCCCCGTGCAAAAGTGCCTGCTTAGAAGGTATGCTAATGGTTTCACAGTGAACATACTCGAACCTAGACAGCAAATGTGGGCCGCCTACAGGTCACATAGACCTCATGCAGAGGTGGCCGATCGTGCAATGATAGCCGTGGAACTTGATCAACTAAGCCAAGTTCGACAGCATGACAAACTTTTATATGGTCATATATCTATCGATGTCTGATAGTGTGTGGTTGAAGTCTGAACCTGATTGAAAGACAGTGCAAACAGAAGACCTGTGGCGCAAAGATGAACACGACTGCAACGGTATCAAGTCACAACACTTTCTATAAAAATAGCAGGCCTCACTAGTTGATCTAGGCAGCTGTGATTGCGACCTCTGTAAATGTGCTGCTCGGTAACTATATAGCTGATGCATGCCAGCCTGGCATGATAATACGTCGATCATGCTTTCGCGATCCAGCATCTGCCATGGTAATAGATTAGTATACAATAGAGTATATGACTTAGTGCAACTTCACCCATGATGTATAGAGGACATGGGCGGCTATAATGTGCACCTGGACCCATGCATGTCAATTGGCGTATACCGGGTAGCAACTTAACCTAGATCTGACGTCGTTCATGGAACCAAGGAACCATGCCTATCAATAGCGTACTGGGTAGCAAATGCAATGAATCAAATCTAACCTTGCATCATGCATGGAGCAAGGGGAGAATTACATGTGGAGTCCATCAAACCGTTCACTGTGTGAAAATGGTTCTTCCACATTCTCCTCCCGGGTGGTCCAGGAACCTGGCCACCAGGAGTCTTGAACTGCTCATGTTAAGTGGTTATCATCACGGATCCCGTACTCTGATACCTCCATCTGGCATTATTGCCCCTGATGAGGGGTTGCAATATTCTAAGAATTGCCTTTTTAAGATTCGATAGAGCCAAACAACAAGCCGCTCAGTCCTCATAAACCGCTCGCATCATCTGGAAACGCCTTGTGCCGCTGTCTCTGCCCCGCTGCTAGGCACGGAGGGGGATACCGTGCACCCGCAACCTGTATATGCACGTGAAGTCCTCGCTGCCGTAGTTGGACAGCACCTCCAGCCGCACCACGTTGTATCCGGCCATGCCGGCAGACGGCCCCGGCTTGACGGTGAACATTTGCGCCGCGTAGTCTGCGCTGGTGTCGTACTCGAAAGTTCCGAGAACCTCAGGCTCGGCCGCCTTGGCCGGCTCGTTGTGCCAGCCCGAGATGCGGAACGCCTTGGGGGCGGTAGACAGGTCGAACGCTGTGGTCTGTGGAAAGGATCAAGATATTGCTTTGTCCCAGGTGGCAGCTACCGACAGTCCAATCGCGGTCAATCCAACAGACATGGCCAGGTGGGGGCTCTCTTCCAGAGTCTTTCGAGTTCGGCGAATTGGAGGCGGTGGTGGTGGCCTCTGCTTGCCGTGGCTTTCGCATACTGGATTGAAGATGGCCCTTCATAGTCGACAATGGTTGAATCTCCTCTCCAGGTGAATGCCCTCAACGACAGATACTTTACGAGCAGCTTCGTACGGGCATTAACCAGACCCAAGAACACGACAACAATCTTTGAACAACTGCCTGAAGCCGACACCATCGACAGGCCCAAGGCACTCGACTTCTGTTTCGTCCCCAATTGTTTTACGAAGGCCCCTTGCAGCCTGCTTGAAATCAACACGCTCTTCACGGGCAAGGTCTCCCCGCCGCCCCTCACCTTGGACACGTGTTCCAGCGTGATTGCCTCCGGGACGACGCTGGTCCGCAGCGCGACGTCCACGTGGCCGTAGCTGCCGTCGAGCACCTTGAGCGGCAGGCAGTGCCCCGGCTCCCCGTGGCTGGGCTGCACCACGCGCTGCGCCTGCGGGTGCAGGCCCAGCTTCAGCTGACTCAGCAGGCCCCCGAAGCCGGGGGTGTGCCACGCCGCGCTGTGCGCCAGCACGCGGCCCCCACTCGAGTACACTGCGTGGTCGGGCCGGCCCAGACGGTCCGCACTGTGCCGCTCCAGCTCGTCCAGGACCTGCGGGGGGGAGGTGGGGGGGTGAGTGTGAGGGGGACAGGAAAGGTCGTCTCATGAAGAGAAGTACTCGAGCGGGGGCCAAGAAGTACTGGTCTAAAGCCAGGCAACGAGTATCGGAAAGTGTCTCGTAAGGAGTCACGCATGGAGAGTGCGTCTATGTTTTCCAAGAAGATGAGATTTTGAGTCGAAGGAAGTCTACTGGGCGAAGGGGACAAGATGCCAGGAACTCTTAGAGGACTCTCCAACTGCAACCCAGATCCTAATTTTGAGCCACGCCGATAAAAACCTGTCTCGACTGTCATTTACAGACCCGGATTCTGACTTTCAACCATTCCAGACGTCATGGTGTCGACCTCTAAGAAGAGCTTGAGCACGTCACCAGCTGAGTGGGCACTCATGCAAAAGAAGGTTGTTTATTTTCCTTCCCCCGCCTCACCACTCTGCGCGCGGCTGCCCTGACATCTTCCAAGTCCAGCACCCCGCCCTTGCCCGCCCCTGCGCGCTGATCGACCACGGACTTGGCCAGTGCCAGGACCTCCTGCCGGCTCACCACCGCCCCCTCCACCGACAGCTTCGCCAGCACCGCCTCCGCACCTGACACCTGGCAACATGAGAAGGGGGCCGTCTTAGAGGGCGGACTGTGATAAGGTCTTGCGCCAACCAAGGGTCGGATTAGAGAACGAACTTGACAGCAAGGTCTGTTTGCGCAAATTTCTTTGTAAGTCGGGTCATTTCGAAACGCGAATGGCAGGACGAGACTTTTCAATGTATCTCTCATTTATTCACCCCTGCCCAACTCAATCGAAAGCAGAGTGAGTGGACCAAGCGTGATAGCACAGCCCATACACACTGACAGCTGGCGTCAAAGCTTGTTGAGCGACAACCATTTGCGAGTTGACCCATTGCGCCACCACTACTACTGGTTGTGCTGAGCCCATTTGCGCACCACAGCCGAGCCGCACCTTGGTCCGCACGTCGGCCATGTCACTGCCCAGCTTCTTGAGCTGCCCCTCCAGCCTGCTCTCCATGCCCTTTGCTTTCTTGCCCGCCTCCTCGTCCCGCCGCGTCAGCACGTCCACCTGCGCCTGGAGCCCCCCTACTGTCTTGCCCACCGTGTCCTCCAGCCGCTTCAGCTGCGACTGCAGCAGGACTGCCGCCTCGCCAGTGACGGGGACGCCAGGGTAAGGTGCAGACGGGCGGACCAGGGACCAGGCCTGGACAAGGCAGGAGACGAGTTTAGCAACCATGGTACACTAGGTCAGTATGTGCCCGTTCGACTGACGAACACAAATGATGTGCTTAACGAAGGCTTGTGGGACAAAAGGAAACTTAGCCAGCCTTGTCTACCGCCAGCTGGCATGCTCAGCCACTAGGCTCACACCGATGTTGGCAACGAACTTTGGCACTCAATTTCGCAGGGGAGGATCCTCACCAGGCTGAGCCCCAGCAGCGTAAGAAACGTCCACACCACATATGGCCGGGCGGGGTGCGTCCACCACCCTCCCAGCGTCGTCAGCTGCTCCGGTGCCGCCACCTCTTCCCCACCCCCCTCAGCCACCCCTTCCCGCACCCCCCCAAGTGCATCACCTAGATTCTTGAAAGCATTCACGACACTACCCTGTGCTCGCTGCCCCCACCACTGGGGCTTCTCCGCCTTGCCCTCTGCTGCAGCCGTTGCCTGCGGCTCCGCTCTGAGACTGGCTGGCTCGCCCTCGCCCTTATTCACCTCGCTCCCCTTCTGGCTGTGGTGGCTCACATCCACGCTCTGCGTCGCCACACTCGCAGCGGCTGCCGGGTCACGGTCGCCCGTCCGGAGCCTCCTGCTGCTGCGGCGGGGGGAGGTCGGTTCGAGGCCCAGCACTTCGGAGGACGCCCGGGAATTGGCACCACCCCGTGGCTTGCGCTGGCGGCCGCTGGCAGTGGGGGTGCCGGCCACAGCCAGGGAGGCCGCCTGGAGGGCAGACTGGGCGGCGGCAGCAGCAGTCATGGCGGCAGACACCTGAGAGAGCAGGGAACTGCGTTGGCAGGGTGGTGTAGCTGATCACTCCATTGTGCAGAGTCACTGTGGAAATTGAAGAACTTGGGAACAGCAGGTCAGCACTCCTCCTTAAATCCTCCTGCTTCCCTTCGTAGATTCAGAAGCAACTCAGCTTTGCTGAAGAAGATCACTCAAAAATGTTGACCCACTATATCGCCATGACTGTATCAGAGTACCTTTGCATGAGAGCTAGTGTAGATCCAAAAAAGTCAGCAACTTTCAATCACTCTCCTCACACACAAATAAGAATCACATTTACCAGAGTGTCTGAGCATACTACATCCAATCCTGAAGTCACTATGTTACCCCGTGGAGCAACGAGATCAGCCTGAAGCATCAGAGTGCCTACTGAGAAATGGTCAGCATGATCATACCCCTCATCCAAACAATCAATGGCAGGCAGGCAATTACCAGACAGATAGTATGTCGTCAACGTTCCCACAATCGGCGCCACCTCGCTCACACTGTTTTGAATCCAGCGCGGAGCTCTATGATGGTTGGACTAGGCTCGGTCTCCACCATGCAGGCGCCACGGCATGCCAAGAAGCAATCAAACTGATACAAACAGCTAGATGAAGAATTACTACACTGCATCTATCGCATAGGGTGTGAGTCTGACTGATGGGCGGCCCCCAAGCCACTGCGGTAAATCGCGGCCGCGAGGTCAGTACCCGCGTGACGCTTGCCAACTTTCCGAGAGGTTCCGAAGGGTTTTCAATCATTCAACTCATGCAAGGTTGATCTGTCAGAGGTCTGACATCAGACATGGTCTCTGACATAACAAACAACCTTGGAAAAGCAGTTGTCACGACGCGCGCGTACTTTCGGGCTCCAAAGGTTCAGATATCCCCAAAAGTCTTCTCTTGCTATTCAAACCGTCGATGTTGTAGTTCATGGGCCACGTGCTCAGTCCAACTTCAGTCGGACTGGGAGTTCTGAATATTGGTACCCCTCCGACCTGCATGATGTACAGGTCGACATGACACTCAGCTAAGACCGGGCACCGTACCTGCCTTCATACCGGTACCTACTTGGGTACCGTGTGCGAGCCCTGGGCCTGGGCAGCAGGCTGGGCTCCGTCGCTGGCACACTCTGGCATCCCATGGGCCATCAGCATCCATGGAGACCAGCCTGCCGGTGACGCGAAAGGAAGTGCTCAGCTGCATGAATCTGCTTTCTAATCCTAGCTGGACAACAGGCTGCCGCCTGAGCTGCTCAAACTTGAAGTTGAGGCCGCCGGGAACCGGCCTGCTTCTGGGCAGCCGTGCCAGCCGACTGAGTGTCCTGCAGGCCGTTGGCGTCAGGGATCCCGGATTGTCAAGGGGAAAGCAGAACCAGGAACAGACGGGGAGCAGACTTTGATCATTGTCACGTCAGCTGCAGGCAGCAAGGGCTGCTCAAAGCGGTCTCCTTAACACAAGTGATTGCACATGTCGAAAGGTCCTGTTATTGGATTGGAAAAGCCTGCGGACGACATTCAATACCAGAGAAGGCTTGAAAGGCAGTCAACCCAGTCCCTAGACATCTCGAATCCCTCTGAGCTGGGTGTGGAGGCCTTTGAAGCACAAGGTGGCGCACAACTTTCTTCCGTAGCGCAATTGAAGTCTCGCCTTGAGGATCTGACCTGAGGAGAAGTTCCTCTTGCTTGCCAGCTCAATTGAGCCGAGGCATTGAGTCTGACAGGCTTTAGGACGAATGGAAGGCCAGAGCGGGCGCCACCTCTACAGCCCCTGGCAGCACGTAAGCTGCGAGCAGAGCTAGCGTTGGATCACAGACCGCTGGCCACAATGCGTGCCACATCATGTGATCTGGGTGTATCATACTCGCCGGCGACCCTGGGGCCCAACTCTCCCACCGCTGGCGTCAAGACACCCAAGAGCTCATGGTCCCCTGAGGTGGGAATTGCAAGCGCCCTGACCTCAGCTAGAGGACTCACAACAGATTCCCTGTTCTTTCATGTGCAATGACTTCTTGTTATTGCAGCTAAACCCCTGCCGGAGGGGCCTCAATGCTGAGAATGGAGGCTTGAGAGAGTTTCTTTGGCTGCGTATGCAGGAGGACCGGCTGCTGGTGGAGCTTGTGCGGAAGCACGGCGCCCAGAGCTGGTCGCTGATTGCTAAGCAGATTGCCGGCAGGTCGAACAAGAGCTGCCGCCTCAGGTGAGAGGTCCAGGAGGTGGGAATCGCTTGCTCCGGGTGACATAGGGGCGCTCAGTATCTTTGGAGCTGTTGCAACAGCTTTCCGGCTTGCCCGCTTTCAAGTTGTACAAGAATTGGGCAGGGGAGAATTCCTCTGTACTCTGTCGTGTTGTGCACTCAATATCTTGTGGCTATCTACAGGTGGTGCAACCAACTGAACCCCGAGGTGCGCAAGGAGCCGTTCACTCCAGATGAAGACCGCGCCCTGCTGGCAGCACATGAGCGACACGGCAACAAGTGGGCAGCCATTGCGAAGGAGCTCCCAGGGAGGTGAGCGCCCTTGACATTTGCCCTGCCGCCACCTCTCTTGGCCTACAGGTTTTCTGCATAGGTGTCATTCAAGGGCCAAGAAATATGATTGGACACATTCACATCATAGGGCACGTTCAGTGGAAAAAGCACAACACCAGCCCCTGCTCCTCCACTCACTCCTTCCCCCATCCTGCAGGACGGACAATGCCATCAAGAACCACTGGAACTCGTATCTAGCACGCAAAGCGCCGGGGGCGCAGCGAGACCTGCCAGGCGCCACCCCCCCTGCGGCGGAGAGCGCCAGCAGGGAGGGGCGCAAAGGGGCGGCCGCCCGGTCCCCGTCTACCAAGCGGGTGTCGCAGCAGTGGGAGGGGGACCGCAACCTGCACAAGAAGATAAAAAGTGAGCCGCCAGGAGCGTAGATGGGGGGCACAAATGGTGGGGCCAATGAGCCAGGGGTAAAATGTGATTGTCATATGCTGATTTGGTAGGATTCTACTGGAAGCAGGAAGTTAGGAATACCCTGTTGTTCAAACATGGCCTAGCCCAGGTAGTACCTCACATAAACGCTGACACTTTCCTTGCCTCCCCCGCAGGCAATGACGTGGCCAGCCCAAACGCTCCTTTCGACATCTTCTCACCTCCACCCAGCGAGCTCCAAAACTCCACCTCCCCGCCCCAGGAGGCTTCTTCTGGCCTGCCCCCCCCCTCTCCGTTCCATGCTCACACCTCGGGGCACCCCCCCCACAGCGGGTTCCTTACCTCCTTTGCATCTCTTCCCCCCCGAAGCCAGTCTACCTCCCCTGAGGCGGAATTCTCCACCCGGAGGCCTTTCTCTAGCGCGGGTGATCTTGCCAGCCCACGGGGCTTTCCCTGGAGTAGGGCACACCTCCCAAACGGCGCACACTTTGTAAAGCCCATCCGGCCCCAGGCGCTGCGCTGTCAGCCGGAGAGCGCAGCCCTGGCGTCGGTGGTGATGCAGTTCCTGCCCTCCTTTGGGGCGCCCCCCCTGCCCTCGGAGAGCGACTCGAGCGGCGAGCCGACGGACGGGAGCGCCCGCCGCGCGGAGCTGAGAGAGCACGTCATCGCCGAGTACCTGAAGCTGACCACCGCCATGGCCAAGGCCACCGCCGGCGCCTCAGCCTCCTATGTTCTGTCGAACCCCAGCCCCACCCCCTCAGGGTTCCCCCACTTCCTCCCCTTTGCGGCCCACCCAGGGATCCGGTTGAGCCCCCCCCACCTACCCAAGAGCGCGTCGACGTCGCACATGGCGGCCTTGGAGCTGGAGCCGCAGCGCGGGTTCAGGAAACCGCGGCTGGACGTGCTGGCGACGCCCTCCGCATTTGCGGCGCTCAGTCTGGGGAGCCCCTGCGGGCCGCCCCCGGCGGAGGAGGGGCCCTCGGGAAGGGAGGAGGGTGGGGAGAGGTGTAGCCCGACGAAAGTGGGGGAAGCTGACGTGGCAGAGGCGGAAGAGGGGGCGCGGACGGACAGTGGGGACGAAGACGAGCAGGAGGAGAAGCCTCGCCTGAAAGGTAGGCCAGTCTGTTTGCGCTCAGAAAAGACTTTATTGTTAAGAGATTTTTAAGGACTCGCGCACGATTGCATATCTGAGGCCAAGACGGTCAGCCTTCCGGTAGACGTGTTGATTGGATTGTCCTTCTCGAGTTTAAATTAACGAATGGGTGCTTGGACGGTGCAGAGCTCAGACTGATGGACATGCCGGACCGCCGGGCGGACGCTCTGTTAGAAGCCAGCCATCCCATGACGCCGCGCCGATCGCCATCGCCGCAGTAGGAAAAGAACAGGACGAGAGCCTGCGAACTTGGTTACAGACAGTCGCTTGAGGATTAGATGCACAAAGGCAAGGGCGGCTTGGGGTTGCTATTGAGAGTAACGTCACGTACACCAGTAGGTGACGTTTTTGTAGAAATTGCGTGACACGAGCGAATGGTCTGCGCAGTAGTTTCGAGCCAAGTAGATTAGCTGTCGAATAGGGTTTATAGACGGGTTAGAAGAATGAGACTGAGGCATGCCGTCGCTCGCCGCAAGCCTCCTGATCACAGTTTCGTTTTGCGTTTGTTGGGGACAAGTCGGATCACAGTAGTAGTGACACATAGAAAGGCAACTTGCGATCGCATAAGCATGTGACCTCGTCACTATAGGGTGAACCGCATCAGTGTAGGCTGCTACCAAACACGTAGGGGTTGCACGACAAGAAACCATCGGTAGGTGTAGCATCGCTTTGCCAGCGCAAAGCGTGCTCACTGAGCAATACATCGTCTACTACATAATTGAACGTAGTTGGACTAGGGCTGGCCATGGAGGTGCAAAAAGTCCGGGGAAGCGAGTAGCAATATATGCCCACATATGTAAGCGCAGGTCGGGTCACCTAGAGCATCTGATGATTATTAAATTCGGCCGACAAGGCTGGACTTTTAGGATCCGACCTTCGTTTCCATGCAGCGCTGCGGGCGCTCTACTAGATATAAGCTTTTAAAGCACTTAGCTACCTTGAGCGTTGACTCAGCAACTAGGTCGGATGGAGAATGCATGCTAGCTGGCAGGGATACCGCGATCCTGATTGTTGCCGCGCCGATGCGCATGCCAGAAGTTTTGCCCCCGTCAGGCTTGCATGGGCTCGGCACTCCATTATCGAGTCGACAGCGCAGACGTTATAAGCTTTCACTCGATCTTTGAACTTGCCAGTCGGGATAATCAAAACCAACATTCCACCGGTGGCCGTGCCAAGAATTCTCCCCCCCCTGGGTGGTCAGCGCGGACGCTTTGGTGGACCATCGGAGCAGACGCTCTCGCTTGGACCAGGTGGTGCGACGCAACCGCCGAAAGTGTGAGGAGTGGGCGCACTTCTCGTTGAAATTGCAGGTGGTGACTTAACTTTGAGCATGGACCAGGAGCATTGATCTTCGACTAATCCTTCGTCTTACTTGGTGTCGGTCTCCATCGTGCCTTTCGGTGGGATTTGCTGATTGATCCCAATTCAAGGAACTGCGTTGAGAGGCACTGCTCAACAAAGCATCATCGTTCAGTATGTGCGCTATTGCGATCGTAGACTCCCTCCTCAGTTCTTCAGTTACAGAAACCCTAGCATTCACATGCATGGTATATGAAGATTGGGATGCTCTTATCAATGTCAGAAGTCTCGAAGGCAAACAGCTATAGCGGTGCACTTTGTTGCAACCGAGCAGAAGCGTTCAGTGAACGCGCTAGCTTCGTTTTACCTCGCCGGCCAATCGCCACCGGTCGACAGTCAATCGCACCAAGCAAGTGTGACAACAGAATCAGGTGCGCCGAACCAAAGCGCCCGTCCGACGCCATTCACGATACTAAGGCTCTGACGCTCATTCTTGGGTTAGCAACTCTTGGCTGCAGCTTGTGACCTCCTTCCCCTGAGACGTACGGCGGGCGGAAGGCCCTACCACGTGCCTTAAATTCTTAGCCGCTTCTTCGAGCTCCACGTAGACGACAGCCCCGCAGGCGAGCTGGCGCGCATCCTAGCGCCGCTGCGCTGCGGCATCCCCGCCAGGGCGGCCCTTGCCGGTAAGGGACGGGGTGTCAACTCTTTGGTTGCGAGGATATTGATTGCACATTTGAATGCTGGATTGTACGCCACCAGAAAGTCTGTGCGCTCAGCTTCTCTTTGTCGCCGACCGACAAAGGATATGGGAAGTTCTGAAACTGGCTTCTAAGCCAATGTGTTGCTGGGCGAGTCGACTGATATTGTTTTCTGCTTACGAAGGTCATGTCGTGGATGGATCCTAGTTATAATTGCAGTTTTGCAACAGACTCTGCACCGGGCTTTTCCTCGCAGGCAAGCACGGGTTCGTGACCCACGGTTTCGGTGGGCTGAGCCTCATGCGACAGCTGACTACGAGAAGCTGGGAGAACCTTCGCGGGACGAGGCGGAAAGCACATGCGGGCCAAGCTGGACCGTTCCCACGCTGCACTGGGTGAGGCGCCGATCCTCTATGGTTTGTAAGACGCTGCAACTTTCAGACGCCGCGGCGGCGGCTAGCTTGGACTTTGCGCCCGCACGGGGGATCCCTGGATATCCCGCTTAGATTTGGACCGTGACGGTTTCAAGTTGGAATCTGATCGAGTCGCGATATAATGTGCACATGTTGGCGTTGCATTCGCTTAACATAAACAAAATTTCTGTACGTGGCCCACATGATTCAAGTTAGAATCACAGACATGTTAGATGGGCATATAGCTGTAGTCAATGGACACGGTACGTTGCATATTATTAAATATATAGGGTTCTGCAGCTTATTGAACTCTGAAATTAAGCAATCGACTTTAGAGTCGAAAGAGGCAGTCCTTGGTCTGCATAATTGAAGCGTACCGAATATCCGCGCGGAGTACAGATTGGTTACAATAAGTCCTACTAACTGCACGCGTCCTTGCATTGCAACAACCGTAGTTGAGGCCGCGCCATTTTACAGATCGAAGTAACATGATCCGCGATTCCGCGGACTCAGTAAAAGGTCCTGGGATCGAGCACATCAACCATGGGGATCGACGGAACAATTCTCTATGTTCATCGGTCTTCATCCCGGCGGCTTGTGGAAGGATACGTTTCCGAGTAGAAAGGATCAATTGGCTGCTGTCTCACTAGGACTCATACTACGTAGCCCAATTTGTGCATAATCACTGTGGCAATCCCAGATGGTAATGGCAGAAAGGGGCTTTCTTAACATAGCATGTTGAGCATAATATCCGGCATTTCATGCCAAGAGTTTAGCAGGCGCCCTGCTCGATCTCAGAGTAAGGCGTTACATCGGAGACTATCCTTCACATGCCGAGTCAACCACTTTGAGGCAGTCGTCGACGTCCTCTGCGCTGATCAGTGCGCAGTTCCAGAACTTGACGAGCATCAGCATGAATACCCTGCGTGCAAGCCGAGGAGCAAGTGCAGCATCAAGAGGAGTACAGACACAAACCTCCGCACGCCTCCTTTTAAGCCGATCCACAAGAGGAGGCTAACAGGAGGCCTACGTTGATGCAACCAAACAAGAGAAAGAGTCCGTTCAACGTAATCTTGAATGTAGACATTGAGCTTTTTGACAGCGATCACAACAGAAGCGGACACGATTCCGTTGACAGAGCGCGATGCTATGCAGCACAATCTGGCGTAGGCCAGCGGGGGCCGTGGTGCATCCGCGGTTCTGAGGGCCTCACCTCCTGAGGCCCGGATCTCCGCCGATGGTGCCCTTGTGCACTGCCGCAAAAGCGCGGCTCGCCCACGGCATGTGCGCATCTGCAGCAATCCTGGAGCCACAGCAGGACAGGCGCAACGTCAGCCGACATCGGATGACGTCGGCCCACAACCGCACACGCTCAGCATGTATTGAGTGCTATCAATTGAGAATGTTTCTCTGTGATGCAGTCAAGTGGCTGCAACTTAGTCCTGGATGGTATCACCAAAGCAGCCGCCCAGCACTGCTGGCATGACGTCAGCGAGTGTGACCGGCGCGCTCGGTGCGCGGCGGCGGGGCGGCGCACCTCTGCTGGCGGGCGAAGCAGTTCCACTGGTGCATCAAGAACTTCTCTTCGGTGCTGACGTCACTGAAGTCATCGAGCATCTGCACACAGCCGGCCACGTGTCACAGGATACGGGCACAGTGGAGTGTGCTAGTGCGCCAACCGCGCGCAGGCTTCGTGCGACGTGTTGTCTTCGCAGCCGAGCGAGCAACAGGGCCAAAGCTGCTCTCGACCCGCCCGTACTCGAACGCATGAGAGGAAGATGGAGCCGATGGGCACACCTGCGTGCACTTTAGGAGAATCGACGCTACAGTATGATTACCAACAAAGTCGACAGCAGAAGATCTTCCACCATTTGTCCTTTTGCAACGCTCTAAATCGCAGCTGTTACAAGAGCTTTGGACCAGTGGTAAGAAGGCGCACCTGCTTGTCGTCGTGCTGCAGCTCGTCCTCGTCGAGGTCGTCCTCGCTGTCCAGCCCGCTCAGCACGTCGTCCAGGTCCATGGGCTGCAACAGCCGAAGAGGACCGGCCAGCTCAGCGGAGTGAGAAGAATGCATGTACATCCAAGTGACCGATAGTGTCGCTGCACTGAAGACAACTGCTGGGCGATTGGAGGTTGATCCAGGCAGGAGACGGCTCTGCTGTTGTGTCTCAAGGAAAGCTTAGGAGGGAGCGGTCCTCCCAACAAAGCACGTGGTCGCTTTGCTTTGGGTCGAGAAGCGGAACTCAAAACCTCGACGGGCTTGCGACTTGGAGAATCCACGAGCACAGCACGCAAGGTTGGGGCCGCGAAAGGCTCGATTGCACCTACCATGCCCGTCCTTGAATGGTAAAACGTCCGCTTCGTCAGGCTCTCCATGTTTCTGCGCGGAAGACGGAGCAGTGAGGCAGGGTGGGTGGGGCAGAGCAGGGCGCATCTGACGAGAGCCAGCATGATACCAAGCGGCCATCTCCAGAAGTCTTGGAGCGAAGGGACCGCAGAGCTGTCGGCTAACTGGTATCGGGGCCTTCCTTGTCTGACCCCTTCCACCGGTCGTCACATCTGGCGCTTTGCCCAACTTACATATGTGCCGACTGCAAAACCTGGGCCGTCGATTTGCTTTTTCGCTTGTCCGAGCTGCTCATATCCTATGATCCGCGCCCTTCGTAATCTGGTCAAGCCACCGAGTTTCACGCATAGAGGGATATCACCTTTTCAGATAATTGATGGCACATCACAATCGCATCCGTCGTCAGCTTCTTTCCCTTCAAGGAAGAATGACTGCCCGCTTCACACCCTACCTGTCGTGGTCCATCGGTTTCCGCCTCGCCTTGCTGCCCCCCTTCTTCTTGGCTACCGCCAGCTTCGTGTCCCCCCTGCCACTACCCCCCGCGGCCCCGCCCGCTGTCCCCCGCTCCCCGCTCCGCATCGTCCACGGCAAAAGCGCCGCCCCCGAGTCCCCTGCCGACGACGCCGGCCCGACAGAGGCGGACCTCCCAACAGGCGCCGGCTCTGACCCGCACCGCTGCAGCTCCAAAGACTCCCCCAGATGTTGCCATGCCCTCGCCTCACCCCCCTCGTTCTGTTCGTTGGCATCGACTGCGGGAGGTAAATCCTGCCCCTCTGACTGGCACGGGTCCGCCAGCTCTGCCTGCGGGGGCGGCGTGTCTGGCGGCCGTGCGGCCTCCATGCAGTGCGCCCGCTCTTCGCCCGCGTCTTGCACTCGCCCCTCCGCCGTTTCCCCGTGACCACACACCCCCTTTTCGGTCGGCCGCTCCACTGTAGTATCGTTTAAATTCATCCCCCCAGGCCCGTGCTTTTCTTTGCTGGGCCCCGGCATTGTTGTCGCTGCCCCTGTCGGTCCTTCCGTATTGCTCCCCGCTCGCAGTGCCTCAGGTTCGAGGGGAGAGCTCCGCTGCCGCTTCGCCCTTCTCTCCTCCTCATCTCCGATTTCTTCGCTCTGTCGAGGGGGCGCCGTATCAGGCCGCGTTTGTTGCTGTGCCCGCCGCTTCGTTGCCTGTCTTCGCAGCTGAGTGTAGAACGCATCCCGCCGACTGCGCCAGTCGCGCTTCCTACAAACAGAGAGCTGTGTTGTTTGACACGGGCAGCAAAAATTCGTCGAGCAATCCGTCAAACATGGATGAGATTAACAGCACTTTGGATTGCACAAATCGACTCCACACGTCGATCCTTTCTCAGCAAGCTACCGCAAGATGCAGCAAGACTGGAGCCGAGGATGCAGTATCAAGCGGCACTGAAGGCGGGGTTCGGTGCAGCGCAGATCGGACAGGCCTCCAAGGTCAATACAACGCTGGTACTGAAAGCTCTGCTTGCGATGGTTGATCCAAGTGAAGGATCTCTGTACGCAACCCGTTTAGCCAAGGCTTTTGCGGAGTAGTGGCTTACCAGTAGACAAACTCGGCGCCGGGATCAAGGGAGGCAAGGCGCGAGGCTCCTCTTGACGGAGATGCCGCAGCCTGCAAAACTCAACATTGAGGGAAAACATGATCCGTATGATGCGAAAAGTGGCGACGGCATGCGCCGTGGTGTTGAAGCTTGGTCTCCTCTGCCCCATTTTCCAATGGGCAAAGAGTGGGAGCCCCAAGAAGTCTCGCAGATTTTTTGCATATAAATGCAAAGCACTCATCAAAGAAAGCAAGTTCACCCTTGTGAATCAACCCTTACCTCGGACGGCCGGACAAGGATAGCAGGTTGCCCACCAACGTGCTGCAGGAAAATACGAAAAGCTACTGAGCGACTGGTCCAGGAGCGTCAATAATCCCGGTAGTCGAAACTGAGCCAGCCTGTTCCCTGAGGTGGCTCGTGTCCAGAGGAATGGTCAAACAAGGCAGCACGGTGGAGTTACCTTGAAGAAGAAGTCGAAGCGGCCGTGCACGCCCAGGAGATGCAGCTGCAGCGCCTGCAGTGCGCAAAGGGCGACACGCCAAGTCAGCACGTCTAAAATGCCGGGGACGCGGATACGCGGGATGCGGGACCAAACCACGAATGCATCAAGACGTTTCCAGAAGAAAGTCCGAACAAATCCCTTTCTGAGAAGGGAATTTCACGGGAAGCCCTCGAGCAGTGCCTCTGAACTTGCATCGGCGGATCGTTTGGCGAATACACTGAAACGAACTGCTGTGGACGTCGAGCCTCACCTCATATGTTCGGGAGTAGCGCCGGCACACACCACACCGCCAACCCAACAGGAACTCTGCCAGGGAACAAGCGCACACGGGCGTCAAGCACTGGCGGCCGCTGCCTCTAGTTCCCGATTCAATCCTAAAGAGGGCATGGATTCATGAGAGGCCGGAAGCTTTTGCGCTCCTTCCCATCAGCTTCGTGCAGTGCTCTCGAGAGGCTTACCTGGTATTGGCCGGAGATCGGCACTGTCGCTCTGGAGAACGAAAGCCACCTGCTTCTCCGGCTGGCGTGGCGAAGGGCTGCTGTGAAATAGGATCGTCAGCCGCATGGAGTTGGCTTATTGCGAATCCTGTACAGCCAGGTATGCCCGATGCCTGAAGTGCGTCTAGGGGCACAGTCTGAGTTTCATAACGGAGCTCCAGGATTTCGTGAGCTGACAAGTCACGATGCTGTGTAGCTATGGACCGTTGATGAAAGGGTGCTGCAGTATCACCTGGGAGGATGCAAGGGGGGGGTGGTGGGGGCCCCATTCGGGTGGCCGTTCGTGTGGCCGTTTCGGACGGCAGGTGTGTCGGCTGGGACTGTGCTTTTCCTGAGGCACAGCTTTAGTCGCAAAGTCTGCAAGGCAGCAATAGGAGTGGATGATCTATGAAGCAACGGTCGGTAGTATTGTGATCAATATTCAAGAAGAGCTACTGGTCAGCCAAGCAGCTGACCGTCGAACAAACTTGCATCGAGTCGATTCGCTGAATCTGCTTTACAACCGGAGTACTGAGGAGCATTTGCTAGGTACATCTGACAGGAGTACAAAATCTGCAGCGACAGTGCTCACCGCAGGGATGACCCCATTTGCCGTCATCTGGACATGGACACAGTGGGTTCCGAAGTCGTCATCATTTGTGTTGCACTGCAAGTGAGAGAATCAGCAGGCAGCTCAGTGAAGTGTCTGCTTGCGCCTCAACTTAAGGGGGAGGGCAAAGCGGTGTTACAGCAGTGGCCCCAAGAATGGAAAGTTTCGGACAATGTGAAAAGTAGTACTTGGAAACGACCAACTCTTTCTCAGTTCGATTTAGCAAGAGACCCTTTCGGCTGGGTTTGCGAAATCAAAACGCAGAAAGGAGGGAACCTGCGGGACTGAAAGGTTGCCTTTGGTGAGCGACGATTGGTCAAACGTGAGCGCAGAGCTTGCGACAATTGTTCAAACCCATAGACCAGCGGCTCACCACCATGTTAGACCGCCGCAGGACGGGCATGGCGGAGGATGGGGTCCCTTCTTTTGCGGGGAGGGTTGCTTCGCACCATACCGCCGTCCCGCCTAGCGGCACTCCTTGCTCTGGGGACACTGCATCATGGCCCGGGAGTGGCCTTTTCTCCGCTCTACGAACATCGTCCGGGTCATCTGCAGACCACTTCGGTTTCCGTCACACTTTTGCATCTGGTTCATCGTGGGACACGGAGAGCATTGGAAGTGGGTTAGGTATGCGTCACTGATACAGGCAGTCAGGATGACACCCAAACAATCTCCTACCCTGTTCTATCAGGACAGAGTACAAGCTTCTTGACCACTCACCAGCTTCGATTGAACAAAGGCCAACCGGAAGGGGAGATTTGATCTGATAAGTGACAACAATGGCAAAGGAATTTGTTTTCTAAGCAAAGTCGCAGGCAAACGCTTACCCCAGACGATACAGAGGATCTTGCCCTGGGGGGTTCGGCCCGCGGGGCCGGGCAGCTTGAGCAGCAGCTTGGCCGCCTCCCCCGACTGCACCACTGGCACGCAACCCGAGAGCATGGAGTCCAGAGGGAACACTCGGAAAGAGTCACCCTGCACGGGAAGAACCTCGGGAATTTTGACGTACCCAAGAGTCCGTAGTCGACTCCTGCACTGATGGGACTCGGCATACCACTGTCTCAGCGTATCATGACGACGTCTTGCTTGAGGGCAGTCTTACGGAGACTGGTCAGAAGCTGTGTTGATCAACAGTGCATTCGAAGACCACCAGGAAAGCGGACGGAGACTTGGTTTCGACACTCGAAAAATAACTCCTTCTGGCTACAGTTGCCACAAGTCGGCTGACCTGACTCCGGGGGTTTGGAGAGAATCCAACGAAGATGGGAAGACGCATCACGCCCCCCCCAGCACTCAGCCTTGCTCCGACGCGGGCCTGGGGCGGGGGATTCTTGGGAGCATTCCACACGCTGGCAGTCACCTCCAGCTCCCACAAGGTCGACTGCTGCTCTGGGTGGCTGACCCCATTCAGCCCATTGCAATGAGACGCGTGTCCTTCGCTCGGACCTGCACCGTTTGCCCCTCTCGCAGGACTGTTTGCATTCACGTGAGAGTTACCCGCGCCGTTGAGCTGAGGAGCGTTGAGATGGGGGCTGGGGCGCTGGTGAGCGGTTTGCAGGGGTGGTGTAATCGAGACAGAGGGAGGGGGCAGTTCTGGGGCAAGGTTGTAGCTGAGAGTCCGGTGGAGGAAGGGGGGCTGCAGGGAAAAGTGGTGCGCCCAATGAATCAAAGCCTTTGTGTTTAAGAAATACAATGCAAAGTATGATTGCAGCTCTGACACAAGTGGTGATGGAACAACCCACCACTAAATCAAAGCTGTTGCGGGTCGTACGCATAAGTGACTACTGCCAGCAATGGGGCTGAAGGGCAATGTGCTGGAAAATGCTAACACCAAAATGCCCGGAAGCCCAATTGGAAGTGATGAAGGCCCTTCTCACATTCGTTCTCCAACGCTTCTCCAGCGCTTGGTACAAACTGAGAAGATCCTCAGGCCTGGCGGGTGCCCTTCCAAACATTTCGAGACCCACTTGCTTTTTCTCAAAGTATTGTCCTGACTCCCCCACATCCTCCTCAGGCGCCCTTTTGCCCATTAAAACCTCTCGCAGCCTGAACCATCACTGTTCAGCTCAGACAAGAAAACAATATTCACTAACAGAAGGCGACTATCAGTATTGCTGGACCTTTTGGCACGTGAGCGTTGCATAAGGTGGTAATAGGAGTTGACATTTGAGCATTTGGGGTCTCTTCTCAAAAACCCAAGGCATTGGCTCGAGCTAGACACAACAAGAGCAACCTTCAGCTGAACTCCAATACTAGAGGCTCTCTGTAGCTTTTGGCACGTCTACCTAATTTGGAGTCTACCTATCTAGCTGCTGATAATGCACAATTCCTTCGGCTTGAGGCAGGATTGCAACCGCAAAACCGGGTTTGCCGGCTGGGTTTGCCTGGCTACAAGAACTACAGTACCGGTAGGACATGCTAGGGCTTGCAGAAGCCCACTAGTAGTTCACCCAGTGTCAGACAGGTACCTTAGAAAAACATGGGTTTGTCTTTGTATGGATAACTCTGTTGACTCTGTCCAAGGTGCCATGTGGTGCAGGCAGCAGAAGGGTCATTGAACATTTGACAGCTGAGGACCTGAGGTGTCGGTTGTCCAACATCCGATCTCTCTATATGCTCCGTGCTCCATGGCTCGAAGGGGGCTCTGAGTCTAATGTGGCTTAGGGCGAATTGATAAATGGGAAGTTACCATCTCTCACTAAAGTTACAGCACACTATACATTGATGTATCCTACGTAACATGGAGATTGTTAATATATGCACTTCCATGCAATGTGCAGCTTCGAATATCTTGTTCTTTAGTCTACATGAGATACTTCTATAGCTTGAGCCAAGGCTCCAGCTTTGCCAAACATGCGAACATGATCATGAGAGCGTATTTGAAAAGAGACTGCATCATACTTTGCGGGTCCAAAAGTTGGAAAAGATATCGAGCGAGCTCTTTCACGAAGACGTCCTTCGAATGTTGGCCATGCAGCCCGATCTCAACAGCTCCCATGCCACAATTACATGACGGTACGCGTGCACCGCATGTGAGCATGCAAATATATGGCCGAGACTCTAGAGAATTTTCGGCAGCTATAGTTATTCTGCTGAGTATAGTACCTATAGTAGAGCTAGATTTCCATCCGTGGGCACCTAGGGCGGCTCGCCGGCTTAACCAGGCACGTATATGCAATTATGTAGATTGCGGATCAATACATTTTGCGTTGAGCAATTGAACTAGGATTATACCGTCAGCATGGCATGTAGTAGAGGATCAGGAGAACCCCGTCTTACGGTCTAGTATGCAGATCTCTATAGGATGCCAGCTGTCGATGTTGCAGCGGGACATGCGCGTCACGCCATGACGGTTTGGGGATTGGAGTGATTCACCTCTGCTTCTGTGAAATCTAACGGTGTTTTTGAACTTTGCTTGCGCGACCCCTGTACAAAGCAAAGCACAACGCTTGCAACACATCGAGGCAACACCGTCATCTATGGGCCTAGACGGATAAAATCGCTTTTTGTTAACCTGTACCTGAGTCGGAGCCTACATGGAGCCTTCTTATGATTATCAAATGCCATATGCGGCTTGTCGTCTCCTTATTTGGCTAGCCTATAGGATATCAGGCAATCAACCTAGCAGCACTTCATCGGCTGCACTACTGCCTGCTAGCCGAAACAATCCCCCCTCCCAAGAGCAGGCAAGCTCACCAACTCCGGGCATATTCTGTCCCATCTCACATCGTCCGTGTTATCAGCTTCTTATGGTTTCACAGGCGTGCGCGGTGCAGGTGGCTTCAGCTCTGGCACCTGCAACAAAAAGAACTGCCGTTAACCCGCCGTCAACTAAGGTTGCACCATCGTTTGCTTTTGTAAACGACTATCAACTTAGACCGGGCCAGCGGTCAGGGAAGCTTCGACGAGGCTGGAAAGAGATGTAAGGGATAGCCAACGACTTGACAAACAAAATACGACATGCCTCCTTGTTTGAGCCGCAACTTGACTCAACAGAGCCCAGATGCATACGAAATGGTCAAAGATGCACACAAAGGCTCAATGAACGCTTATCGACCGGAGGTCCACGTCGATTGTGCAAGTAGCATTAACGCTTCGATAGTCAGTCCTTACTTTTTTGTAGGGGGATGAAGGAGTTGGGGTTGGAGGTTGCTCCAAGCTTTTCGGTTGCTCCAAGCTTTTCGCCTGCTCCGAGCTTTTCGGCTGCTCCGAGCTTTTCGTGGCCTTGGCAGCGACAGGCGCCTCAGCAGCTTTGTCACTGCGATCTGACTTCGAAGGTGCAGAAGTGCCCTCCGCGGCAGCCTCGTTTGGCAAGAGTGCATTCCCAAGTTCCTGCGATACGGGTTGCCAAAAGGGATCAGGGACGCGCACAGAAGACAAGCGTCGGAGGTCGTCGGCAAGCTACAAAGTTGGCTGCCAAGGAACCTCGGCACAATCTGAGCAAGCGAAGCGCACCATAAGCATTGGGCTCCACTTGTCACGCAAAGAATGGTGGTTACTCGTACGCGTACCTTGATCTCGTCCACGAGCTCCTGAGGTGCAACCTTCGTGTCCAGGAAGGACTTCACCTGCTCGATCGTTTTTCTCCGGTCCTGCAGGCGACACAACGGACTCAGTATCCTCTTTCGATCGTCTCGGAAAAGATAAAAGCACAGCATCTCTCGTGGTTGTCCCCATTGGTTGCGACCAACAACAGGTCTTATAAAACCTCCGATTGGCTCCAAATGCGGCCTTGGATCGCACCTTGAGCAACGCCCTGCAACCGAACTACGGGGTCTACTACGGGGTAGATTGCGAAGGTGTGCCGAACTGCATGCTGATGCCGAAGGGAATGCAAACTGCGAGATTGGTGCTCACCATCCAGAGGGTCCGAGAAAAAGTAGCACGAGCATGACAAGGGAGGCTTCTGTCAAACCGCTCGGCACAACCCGACACTACAATTCGCACAACTTCTTTCCTGTGACATTTGCGCCCAGACGAAGAACTAACCTCAGCAAAGAGGAGCTTCTGGATGACAAGCTGAGCAACGGCGGCTGACCCTAGCAATTGAAGAGCCGTTTCCGCCTGCGCACATGTTGGGCACTGAGTAAAGATCGACTCTCGGTCAGTCCTAACCACTCTGCTTTCGACACTGGCTATGAGGTCCGGATCGGAGAAGAGTGCTGGCAAACACATGCAACTTCCTTTGTTGCGAGGCTGCTTTGATAACAACCGAAAGGCCATCTTCGAATGCCTGAGTGCACCCCTCCCATGGCTCTTCTGAGAAAAGCAGACGCTTTCCTTGCACACATGCAGACCTTGGTGCAAGATGTATTGCAAATTCGTGTCAAAACACGCAACCATGCTTTGATGGAGAGAAAAGTTGCTTTAATCCTAGGACAACACCAATCAGCAGGCTTCTTGCAGGGATAGACCAGAAGTCTGATCCACTGCCTGTACAATTACAGCAGGCACTCAGAATCTGGCATCGAAATTAATCGAACATGTACCTCTCCTTGGATCGAGAGTCACACCAGGGACCGCCTACTCACGACCAAATACTTACCTCAGAGAACAGCAAGAAGGACCCCGCGGTGGCTGCTGCAATCCCAAGGGTAGCTGGAACAACGTTGGGGTTCTCCTGCATGCAAAACACCAACGTCAGCTTGCAGGAGAGCCTGTCCGTCAACATTTGAGGGACATGACAGAACACCCCCAATGAATCCCTTCGACCTGAATAGGTTGCTGCTAAAAAGATGCTGAGAGCGATTCATTGCCCGCTTGCTGGACCTATACACATCCAAGGAACCTAACCCGCCAGAAGATTGTACTGTACCTTTACTGTGGCGTCAATAGCTTCCCTCAGTGTCGATAGATCCAGAGTGAAGTTTGTGGGCTTCAACCAAGGAAGGTCACTTTCCTGTGAGCGAAGGGAAAACGTTAAGAAAGTAGACCTTGGTCCTATCATAGGCCCAAGCTTGCAGAGAGCCACGGGCAAAACATGTTGAAGGATTAGAGCACGCATTGTGAACAGCCGTCGGAATCAGATGGAGCAATTCATATGCCGTTCTAGGCCCCACAGTTCTTGATGCTTACCAGCCAGGCATCAGTGCCACCGGACACAACGAACGCTTTTGTGAAGCCTGCTTGCGTCAGACTTTTGGCAGCCTCGACAGAGACACTTCCTGTCCTGGAAGTCGAAAGTAAAGAGCGTCTTCAGGACAGTGATGGCCAGCTTGACCACCATGCAATTGTGAGATTTGCATCTCAAAAATCTGGCGCCCAAAGCCACTGGGAGTGTCCAAGACTTGCCGCTTCATTTTTAACAAACAAGGGAACAGCATTTGTATGAGGACACGTGGGGCAGTTTCTGAATCAAACCATCAGCAGAAAACTTGCACTTTGACCGTAGATCTGTGTCGATAAGGAAAAGGGAACTTACTTGTCGATTACATATATGGGGGCATCTTCGGCTGCTCTTTTCGCCACTTTGCTCACAAAAGCTGGATCCGCAGTGAGTGCTCCGTCACTTTCTTTCTGATATTGGAGTCTTACAGCCTTTTTCCCAGCTGCTAGCTTTGGAGAGCCTTCCTCAGAGATCTCCTTGCTGGAGCGGATATCAATGAGGATACTGCCAGCCTCTATTTCTAGTTTTCGCAGGGCTTGTTCCGCACTGACGCTTCCGGCATACCCTTTCCTTAGAAATGTGCTTATTAGAGCTGGGACTGCAACTGCGAGCAGAACCACGACCCCAATGACGGGTGCATTATCCCCCAGCACCACTGTCACATTTGCAATGGCGTCGCCACCATCAGACGTTACTGTGTCAGCAACCGAGGTTGTGCCTTTGACAAACGCGTCATATGTACTGACAGCGTCAGCCTCATCCAGTGCCCTAGCATTGTTGATTAGAAGGAGATTTGCCCCAAGAGGTCCTGCAATGAGAGGGAGAAGACTCCACTTTCCCCCGTTCTTTCCCACAGCATTGTCAGCAGGTAAACCAGTGGACAGACCGGTCTTTGCACGAACTGTGAACCTTTGCCTATTCTTAATCACACAGTTAGAAACAGTCTGCTTCAACGCGCCACAAGACGTAAATGTTTGCTGGATGGGGGCGAAAGAGGAAGATAAAAACGGCTTGACAGAGGTTGTCGCCATTGACACAAGCTTTCTGAAGTCCTTAGAGAAAAAGCTCCTTTGGGCTCAGACCCTGAACACAAAACGTGTAATTCTGGGAAAGAGAAGCGCCTTTGACGACAGAGATCAGTATCTAGCTCTGACTCTGAGCCAGGAATTGCAGCTGGACTTGGTCTTTGGTGGGTCAGGAGCAGTCACGTATCTTGATCCGCTCAGACCCAGGTGGGTTAGAAGCGTGACCAGCATATACGCGGGCAATTATTTTTCCAGATTATCTTAGAAACTTCGAAAAAAGCTCCCGACTTTGATGGTCAAAGTAGTTTTAAAACAACCAGGATATTGAAGTCGCTATATTAATGATTAATTACCGTCTTATATAGAGCTTTGAGTTAGGTTTAGGCTCTCTCAAAATTCCATCAGACCTGCAAGAGAGCTGTGCATTGCCCATCTTTCAATGCAATGCAGAGCTCTACACTTCGAAGTTTGAGAACCTTGATGCAGAGCATTAACACACATTGAGAACTTTGATGCAAAGGGTGGTGCGGCGTGCCTGGCTTCAGAACGGTTTTGCACAACCAAGACGAAAAGTCCTCCACTTGTGGTCCACTAAAGTCTTGATGCTGGTGCCAGCCGCTATGAAAGATTTGAATTGGTTGCAGTTCCAAGATAACTTGCAACTGACTCTCCTTCAGCATATGAGGGAGGCGCAGGAGATCTTCTGGTGGAAAGAGAAGGTGCGCTTCTAGCTGGCAGCAATTCCATGTCATTCTTTGGACCATGCAATGCAAGTCTCAAAAGAAATCACGCCTTTCCTTGTGCCTTGATCGCGCGCTGTAGTGCACAAGTGACACAGACCCACTTTGCCGGGCTTTACTCGGACACAGTAAAGAGGTTGAGTGAAAGACCTTTGTCTACTAAATGTGGCCTCCTTTTTGCTGCAGCCCAGAAGCAGAGTCCAGGCAACCCATCAGGCCCTGGAATTGGCTTCAGGATGTTTTGCAGGTAAGTGGCACACTTGGATTTCGGGTGGTGCACTTGGAAAGGAGGCTTACTGCCGAAATCAGAACACGGCTACGAACAGAGGAACATCTGGTCACCTCCAGTACCAGCTCACATTTCTCAGCAACAATGGGAAAGATGACAAGAAGATGCATTAGACCAATGAGAAGGAAGTAGTTGGAGCTTCCCACAGTTCCTTCAGGCCTGAGCCAGACTTTCACATCCTGGACAATTTGATTGTATTGCCCCCTGAGAATGGAGTGCGCATCAAGCATGTGCATCCTTCTCCCACAGCAATTTCCACTTCGGCATCTTCAGTGGTCAGCCTGGCACATGACAAGCATGGAACATCCCTTGAGCTGGGGCCTGCTGAGCTCAGAGAAGCGGTGGATCGACGAGCAGACGATGGAGAGTCGGTGAGGTCCTTTGGCAGGTTCTCAATGTCAGGAGGAGATCGTGAAGTCCCAAGTAGAAATCCTACTGACCTCAGATGACAGTCCATGATCACTTGCAAACATCGTATGAGAAAGTTGGACGTCTCTCTACAACTTCGATCCTTCAAAACAGGTACCTCCATCTGCTACGACAAGGAATATAGTAGGGGCGTGTAGCAACATCAAAAGTATTGGGCTCATGACAGGTGATCATCAATCGGTGTCCATAGCTTGTGTATTCACCTTTCACTGGCCCCGCAGAGGGGCTCAGTTTTGGGCAGCAGCCCTTAGAAGCATGTGTCTTTCAAGTGTTTTTATGCGTCTCCTATCTCTGAATCTCCCCCTCTACAGAGGTCTGGCCCGGCCGATGTGCCACCGCCCGCCTCCCAGTGCATCGCTGAGGGCCTTGAGTTGGAATCCACCATCATGGAGGAGAAAGAGGAGAAGGGGTTTGGGGACGAGGCGGCGGTGGGCCCCTTGCCCAGGTGGGAAACATTGGAGAGCGGGGATCAGGACGGCAAGTGGTGGCAGTCTCTGCCTCAGCCCCTGCCGTGGTTCCGCAGGCAAAACAGGGCCGGGGCCATGTCGCGAACCAGGAAACTGAAGGAGGAGCTTCAGCGGCTTGTTGCGAGGCAGGAGCGGAAAAAGTGAGTCGCCACACCTTCTCCAAGGCTTTCGTGTCTCTAAGTCATAAATCCTTTTGAAGCGGGAGAAGTCGGGGATTCGCAAACACTCAGGACCTTCTTCAGCCTAATCCCGCAGTTCTTTCCGAATTATCCACAGATGAGACGCATGAAAGCGCGCGTTTGAGAAACAGCAGGTCCGCTCAAGGCTGTAAGGATCTGCCAGGCATGTCCCGAACCCGATTCTTTGAGTTCCCCTCAATCTCATAAGTACCGCTGACCGAAGTGCGGCCGCCCGCCGCCTTGTGTTGGCTCTGTTGTCCAACTTTGTCGTTGGCATGCAAAAAGGTCCCTTTCTTCAGTTCCTTTTGACATCAAAGGCAGTTCTCACCCTCTCGTGGCGCTGTACAGGAAGATGCACGTTGGCGTGGTGGTGGAGCACCTGCCGAGCGGGGAGCGCGTGTCCATCAACGGCAGGGAGCCGTTCCCGCTCGCGAGTGTTGCCAAGGTTCCCATCATCATCGCGGCCGCGCAGCAGCTGCAGGAGGCGGAGGCGGACCCCCGGGGGGTGCGCCTCACCACGCGGCTGCGCGTCACGGAGGACGTCAAGTGCATCGGCTCGGGGGAGCTGCACGAGCGGCCGAGGTACGGCCCGCTACTGGGGGACGATCCCGCACTCTCTTCATGTTTAAAAAGGACCTTTGGACATCGGTGGCTCGTTCGTCGGCTCGGTGGTCGGTCGAGAACCTCGCCATCCAACACAGGGGGACGTCAACTCAAGGCCTCTTAACCTCTCAGATTCCGCGCGTAGCTGCCCAGCTCACGCTTTTTCGCTCGGAAGCCCGCCTTTCGTTCTTAAAATCACTTGAGTAGCAGGCCCGAAACGTTTTCCTTGTTTCTGCAGCGGCGAGACGGCCACGCTGGGCGAGTGCATGGAGCTGGCGTGCGTGGTGAGCGACAACACGGCGGCGGACCTGGTCCTGCAGCAGGCGACGCTGGGCCGCGTGCGTGCGCTGCTGCGCGAGCAGGGCCTGCACCACACGGACCTCTGCCTCTCGCAGCGCCAGGCGTTCCTCATCGCCATGGGCATGACGCCGTCGTTCAGGGACCTGTCGGCCACACAGATCGCAAAACGGTGAGGCGCGTGGTCTGAGTAGGGGATCTTGGCTGTGTAAGTATCTGAAGATGCTGGAACCGGCATTGAAGCCAGTCACAGGGCGAAAAGTGAAAAGAATCGGCTGCACTTCACCTGACAGGGCGGAAATTGTTCACACGGGTCTGGATTGCAAGAGAAGCGGCAATGTTCATCCAGTGCGTATAAAGATCCCCTCTTATTCTTTCTGAATACAACACATTCAGGCGACACAAGCTAGCCAGCGAAGCTTTGTAAAGAAGCTGCAAGTCTCTCGTAATCTGGGTCGAGCACCTCTTCAGAGATCTGAACGAGACGTCTTCAGCCACCATCAGCGACCACTGTCCCCCGAGTGCGCTTACCGGCCTTTTTGACTCGTCCTCCCTCTGCTGTCAGATGGGAGGCCATGTCGGCGTCGCAGCGGGCAGCGATCATTGCGGAAGCGGACGCGGCCAACACGGCGCTGAGCGTGAAGTCGTTCCTGGGGGCGGAGCGGCTGGCCGAGGAGAACTACAAGGTGGGCGGGCGCAGCGCGCGGCGAGACTCGATGGCGGTGGCGGCAGCGGTGGACAACACGGCATCGCCGGAGGACATGTAAGCGGGTGGGCACGAAGACCCTTTCTCGTAAAGCGCAGCCCGGAAAGAAGTCGGTGATAAGCGGCCTGAGAAAGGGGATCCTGTTTCGACAACAAGGCACGCACAACGGGTCTTTATTCCAGTCCAGTCTGAAGGGGCCTGCTTTTAGAATGACGCGGCAGATGCTTGTTGGGAGAAGAACTTTGACAGCTTTAGTAGGCGTTTGTTTGCACCAAGCTCTTGCCGATCGACGTACAGACGGTGGGGATGCACATAAGGGGCCACGAAGGATGCAAAGGACGTCTTCTGAGAAAGGCCATTATTTCGAGAGGTAAGAGATTGTCGAACTTGATGGTCACGCTGCCGGAGGAGATACCCTTACTTCCCGTATACTTTGCGGCAGAGTCTCTGGGTTTTCGCCTCGTTTGACAGCGTGTCTCCGGCGTGGGTGCAGGGCGCTGTTGCTGCGGCGGCTGGCGGAGGGCGCCCTGCTGCGGCCCAAGTGGACCCGCCACTGCATGGGCATCCTCTCGCGCCAGCAGTACGGCAAACGGCGGCTGCCGCGCGGGCTGCCCAGAGACACCCGGGTCTACCACAAAACGGGTCAGTCGAGCGGAGCTTATGAGAGCCATGCGGAGCCTACTTCTAGGTCAAGACGGCCCGAAGAGGCCAATGTGCAGGATGCATGTTCTTTCAGTCTGACCCGTCACCGTCCAATACATGCATTGGCAAGTGTTCCTCTCGACAAGCCATTCGCTGCCAGTCCGCCTGCTACTGCCTCCTTTGGCTGCCGTTGAGACTGACCGGTGCCTTCCCACGGTGGTCGCGCGCGCAGGGACGATCATGGGGGTGTGCAACGACGTGGGCATCATTGAGGTGGGCAGCCCCGACAACCTGGTGGTCGTCGCGGCCATGGTGTCGGGAATACTCAAGGTAAACCCGGGCCCGAACGGGCGGACCCTACCTATGGCTTCTTTGTGGGCGGCCCTGATCCGCCTGGCTTCCGTCCGGCCAGTTTGCAGTGATTGCTCTCTCAATTGCAGGCGACGGGCGCTTTTCCAGCTGCCTGCTGCCGGCTTTTGTTCTTGCTTCGGGTACGTTCCCTGCGCGTTTTTCTTCTGGCGGCGCAAGTCCGGGCCCCGTTACTCAACGCAAGGTTCCAGGAGTCTATGGCTGCTTCACGACGCGAATCGTTGCTCTCCTGTTCTCTAAAAAGAGCTACCGGCTAATCTCGGATTCCCCTCGAGCTGCAGAGCCAGTACGATCGGGAGGCCGAGGCGGTGATCGCGCAAGTGGGCAGGCTCGCATACAAGGCGTACCGGCCCAGCCCAATGAGGGAGGTGCACGCACGACCGCGCCACCTCAAGGCTGCTCCGGGCGAACAGAACCGGTAGTGTTAGCTGCTGCAACAGGTGCTAACCAGGTATGCGGCTCGAAAAGTCTTCGAAGCACCTCGTCAAAGGATGCTGCTCTTCTTCGCGCTTGTACATAGTGTGGAAGCGAGGGGCATCGTCTCGAGTAGGAGAACAGGCTGCAGTAACAGGTCTTGAAATAGGGTATAGGCACACAATGGATTCTGAGCTTCCAGCCCACAAGCGCCTCAGAAGGGCTGGATATGAAGAAGTGGTGACGAGTTGTAAGTCTTAGCTCGCCTGCACTGATAGTAAGCAGGACTCGTCAAGCAATGACCTAGATTAAGTCAATGAGCTAGTTTATCCGATGAGAAGGTCGGAAGCTTCCGCCCGCACTTCTGTGTATGCTGGCTCTGTTGCTTGCAATTCGCCATATACAGGTGAACGATGCTCTAGAGTTCCTCACACGCGGGCATACTGATGCATATGTCAGCTAGCTTTAATAGTACGGCGCCCGGTCAGCTAGATACAATGTGCAATTCAAGTGGCAGAACTTAATTTAGTACCGGCGGCATGCTGAGTACGTTCGTACCATCACGCAATGCCACTTGCTAAACGCATGCATGTGCAGACGGTCACGGTACGCCTTAGTTCGATCAAGCTACGTGCTTAATTGGCCGCCGGCCTTGTAGAATATGATTGATTAAAACCATGGAAGATCTGGCCCCTTTACATATGGTCACATGTCCTTATAAACCCTGGGCCACGCTGAGCCATCGGGCAATGCTCCGGTGAGACGTACCGGGATACAATGAATTGACTCTGCAGAGCTTGCTACGGCTGCAAGTCATGTCCAATGTTTATTACTACAGAACACAAGCAGCACACTAACACACTGCAGCTTAGCAAATCATGCACACGGATGGGATGTATAGTATGTTTTGTAAGCTATGCAAACGGCTACGGTGGGTGGCGTGATGACTAACGATCGTGGCTAATTGTTTATGCTAGACAAGCTACATTTCTACTCCTGGGTCTTGCCCTTGATGTCGGAGGCGGTCGCAGAGGAATTTGGCCAGGTCCTGCAAGTCGTCCGGCGTCAGGTTACGACCGGTCACGTTGTCGGTGGGCGCCAGCCGAGGGGTACGTGTTCATGCCTTGTGGTGACCATGACGGTTCATATTGAATGACTTGATCGGCTGATTCGGCCGGGCGCCGGCCATTGGACCGCGTATATATGCAGTGCATCAAAATCAGTTTTGCTTGCTCTCAAGGATTGGCCGGGTCGGGCATATACCGCTATAAACGTGGAGATAAGGGCCCACCGCAAGATATGTGCGCACTGAACATGCTCTCAGATATATACAGCTACGGGGTTACCGCCGATCGAACGCGCGGTAAGTTACGTGGTCAAAAGCCGCATGCACGTCTAGCCACATACTAACTTGATTCATGAGCTCAGTACCCTCTTCTCACATAAAGATACTTAAATCCGGGGGCCAGCTACGAACTACCCATGTGCTAAGTTAAGCTGATATTCCATTTAAGGAAGAGGTGAAATTGGTACTTGCTTTTCAGAAGAAACGGCTGCATGTCGCACTGAGGGTTAAAACTGCGCGCAGCAGCTGGATGTCTCGATCGGACTGTCCTTTCAGGCTATAAGAGTCACCGCCACTGACCAGACTGCGCAGCAAGAAAAGTAGTTCCGAGACCAAGCACCGCTTGGGAGCTCTACGCTTGTCGTCCAATAGGATTCGACCTTCTCTAAGCTCACTATTTTGACAAAGAATTGGCGACCGTGTCCAACGAATTTCTATGTTACAATGTTGAGCGGGTGCTATTACTTGACAGCAGCTGCCTAAAGCTTTTCAACTAAGACCAACCGAAAGCACGACTTAAAGCGCAGGGTCTCTGTCAGAGCTAAAAAAATGGCTAACACTGAGTCGAAGCGAACATGGTTTTGCCCGTCTTTCAATGCCTGAGTGCTAAGCGATACATACTGAAACACGTTGACTGAAGGATGCCCAGCCCTCTATCCCGGAACTAGCTACTGGTCCGCGGTCAAGCAGAACTTCGCGCAAGAGTTGGGGTTGCAGGGGTCCTCAACTTGGGCCACTTTTGCTGCCTCACAAGAACAGGCTGTCCTTGTGCACTTTGCAGTGTATGCACCGGTTTGTGGTGAAGATGAAGAGGCAAAGGATGCCCAGCGGAAAGAGCAAGATAGATGAGACCTGCACAGTGCAGCGCAACAACCGAGTTACGCCACTGCTCCTATAAACGCTGTTCTCAAGGAACATGCAAATAATCGACCGGCGCCCCAGCAAAATTGCAGCATTTGCTTGACATCAATTCGACTATGCCACAGCAACCTGTACTGAATGACTTTCAGGGGCCGCAGCCACACTATTGGCCACAGCCGCAATTTTGGTCACTGTGAAAGACCCGGGAGTGATCTGCAGACCCCTTGGCACCAATGTGTTATCAGCTCATCATAAGCACAGGACCATGTTCAAGGAACCAACGTTAAGGCAGGTCCAACGAGTTACTCACCCAGCCAAACGCGGTGGCTTTGCTCTCAAACTCGTGTGCACACTCGTGGCTTGACGCTAGAAGATCTTGTACCAATGGGTTCTTGGCACTGAAAGGGACCCCGTACTCCAGAGGCACTCCATAGGGGCCTTTGAAGGAGGGGCTGAAAGGGGAAACCGGGCTCCGGCACTCATCTGCATAAGGTAGAACTACTGTGAGCACTTTTGCTACTGTCAGTGTCAAATTGGAATGAGCTTTGAGTAGCCCAGGGTACCGACCTCTGTGTCAAGAATGGTATGGAGAGGTTTAAGAGCCCTTCAGGAAGGCTGAGATGAATCATGGAATACAGAAATCTGTCCCCCTTTGTCAGCTCGCCCAATCCATCGGTTTCTTGACTCAGGCTCCTCGGCTCAGCTAGCACTGTCGATCCAATTCGAAGTTCCTTTTTTTTCATATGCAGACTGACTGGATATAAACATGCATAGTGAGTCAGTTTCAGGAGGTTAAGAGAGACATAGATCAACGGAGCATTCAAGGGCCTGTAAGAGCGCCATGACTCTCACCTTCCAAGAGCGCCCCCTCTTGACAGTTCAAACTCAGGTCTGCTCGCTTCCCTTGTGGCATGGGGCCATAGTTCACAGGCAGGTTCTTGAGAACTCCAGCGAATCTCTGCAGCAAGGTAAAGATAGTCAGCGGATTCACCTTACCAGTTCCAGACTGTGGAAAGGAGATGCCACTTGCAATAAAAACTCCTGGGGACCGCAGGTCATACTCTTGAGAAACGAGTTTTACAAAAGTATGATTCACTCCAGTACATTCCAAGTGAAGTGCCCCAGGACAAGAAGGAGACACTCCCTCAGGTCGACTCATTCAGATTTAAACAGCCACCCTCAGCAGAACTGTGGGCTGAGCTGACAAACTTCAAAAGCCCAGTACAGATAGCGGCTGACCTTGTTTGGCATATCACTGCCATATGAGCCTGACGTACTGCAGTGCTCCATTGCATTCCCCTGCAGAAGGCGAGCCAAGCTTTAGTGTTGAGGGTCAGGACTAGGGGAGTCTGCTGAGGAGATCAGCATGTCGGAAGTCAGTGACTCCTAAGCTCTTCATAGCTTCGGTAGAGGAACTAAGTGACTTGATAAGGAACATTTGATGGGGAGTTTAATAGAGAGTTGCAGTCTGGACCAGGCGGCCCTCTACTTGACAAAAGCTGTTCCTGATCAAAGATAAGTTACCCCCATCCTCTAACAAAGACAAAGAAGCACTGCTCCAGGAACTTAAACATGTTTCTGCAATCATACACTTACTGCCCTACAATGCAGTTCAGTGTATATTCTTAAGGGTTTCCTAACAACTGCAAGGCCCGCTTGGGCTAGCATGGGTTCTCGTACTTACCTCTGGTTCTCGTGATGCTCTGCTTTCACACATTCTGCTCGACAGCCCGAGGACAGACCTCAAAAAGCCAACACTCACTCGCTTGCGATGTTTTCTGCTCTGCGTATCTGCTCGCGCATTTGTAGACAAACTCGTCCGACTTCTATCGCTCACGACTGTAATGCGACGCAGTGGTGTGCGATCCTGCAACGCAGCGGTTTGTGTGCACCTCTTTTTCTCACGTCTTTGCAGCGTCTCGCTTCCACAGCTAGGACAGTCCTGAGCAAGCGGAGGCCGTGGGGGCACGAAGGTATTATAGAGCGGAGACTCGAGAGCATTATGCTTGCAAAGGCCTCTGTCGGAGTCTGGAGGTCTCGCAGAAGCCAAAGAATATTTCAACCGGCAGGAATCATTCTCCTCGAAATTCTTAAACCCAAGGCTGGATTCCTTCTGCGAGTTTGAGGCTGACAATTTGAGGGTATCTCGGCTGTGCTGATGTGGCCGCCTTTTCGTGCCGCTCGTGCCGCGTGGCAGCCCGCGAAGTCAAAGGTGATGTGCACTTTTTCCCAACTTGTGCAAAAAT